TAATATTATTATTTCTACTACTATTACAAATATTCATTTATTATTATTATGAGGTCAACTATAACGGTTCAGAAAAATCTTGTAACTTTGCAATTAGCTAATTGCGAAAATGTCTGCGAGTTTGGAATTCTGCTTTGCTACTGTAATTTGCATTGGTTTCATGCGTCCAATTATATCAGTTTTATATCTCATAAACGCAATTCTTGTCACTGTTTTGTGAGCACTAGGATTATAGATATCCTAAAAAATGAGCAATACTGATAATAACATTAAAAAAACTTTCTTTTATTTTCATAAGACCCTTAAAAATGCAAAAATTAACCATTTAACTTAATTCCTTTAAGTTGTCCCAGCACAAAATGATTGTGTGGAGTTTTATTCGATGTTTGACGTACCTAATCTCAACCAAAACATGAAAAGAATGCGGGACATAATGTAGCTCCTCCCCTTTTTATAAACAGCCAATAGCATTTTGTTTTATCACCGCTCTGCCAGTGAGAGTAACCTCAAGCACATCAAATGTGAAGTGTCTTGAAGGGGGCGGGGCATGTCAGATACTAGAGAGCATTTGATTGGTCAGGATTTGATGAGAAACTGAGGCATGAAGTGAATAAATCCATTGATCCATTAAGGTGGAAATGACAAACTGCAAGCTTTGCTCTGCAGTTTTCTATCCCTTAATCTCAAATTTTGTCACTGTTTTAGTACGCACTTGTTTACAGATATTCTAAAATCAAACAATACTGATACTAACACCTGAAAAATGTTAGTTTAATTTTATGGGACCTTTAAAATTCATTCATTCATTCATTCATTTTCTTTCAGCTTAATCTTTAATTTCTCAAATGTTGCGACAGAGGAATGAACCGCCAACTATTCTGGCATAAGCACATGCCCTTCCAGCAGCAACCAAGTACTAGGAAACACCCATTCACACACACTGCGGCCAATTTAGCTTATTCAATTCACCTATAGCGCATGTCTTTGGACTGTGGGGAAGCACCCGGAGGAAACCTATGCCAACACAGGGAGACCATGCAAACCCCACACAGAAATACCAACTGAGACCACTGAGCCTTCATGCCAACAAACCTTTCAAAATGTAAAGACGAATAAGTTAACGTTATTCCTTCAAATTGTCCCAGCACAAATCGATTGTATGGCACCCAGCATTTTTAGCCAGTGCTGGAGCTCTCCGTGGTGCTGATATTTCTGCTCAGTCGTGGGACATTTCTCTGCTGCAGGGCTTTTTTCGGAGGCAGCTGGAGGAACAGAGCACACGCCGGGTCACTTCTCCTCTCCTCACAGGCATGAGGAAGCACAAGTCAGACTCTTGGCTCTCTTTTAGCCAGGACAGGCAGACTAATATAGAGCCAAAGTGTCCAACAGCAGAGGACAAGAGACGCTGCCAGTTAGTTTTTGGCAGAGAGCGGATTCAGCACTTCAGCAAGATTACACGCTGTGCTGAAAAGGGCAAGAGATTATAAAAAACAACCACTCAGTGTGTGTGAGAGAGAAACAGAAGAGGAGTAATAAGCAATTTAATCAACATGGTGATTATGGGTCAAAGGGGCACTCTGTAATTTTTCCTACTTACAAAACGAAGAAATAAAAGAGTACTTTTCGCTCGCACGGAATGAAGAGTTTTGTTTTAATTTGCATAAATGGTCGCTGGATGGGGTCACATTGGTCATGTGACTAATATAACTAGTGCCGCTCATTTTGTCTTTGCTGATAGAGAGTTTTGATGATGGAATCAAATTATTTTGTGAGAGCACACAAATATATATATATTTTAGATTAATAAAATCTAATTTACTATAATATGAATACTGCCTGCAAATTGTACAGTGAAATGTTTTAAATAAAAAAGAATAAAAAATAAATAAATAAAACAAGATAAATATATAGTACATAAAACAAATTTCATGTTTTATGTGGTCACAAATGCTGCCAACAAGTAATTTAACATTTAAATTATTGTTATTATTATTATTAATAATAATAACAACAACAACAATAATAATAATAATAATAAATACAAATATTTATATTACATGGTCATAAAATGTGCATTTGTAAATAAAAATGTAAAAAAAAATTAAATGCATAATAATAATTATTATATCTACTAAAATTAATCATTTATACTTTATTATGTGGTCTTTAATTATTATTAATATGAGGTAAAAAAGAAAAGGAATACAATTAAATAATAAATAATTATTTTTCCACTAATAAAAATAATTCTTATTATTGTTATTTTTACTAAAACTACAAATATTCACATTTATATTCCTATTCCTATTATTATTATTATTATTATTATTATTAATATTAATATTAAGTGATCGTAATGTCTGCCAGCTAAAAATAAAATAAATAAATAACATTTAAACAATAAATATATGATTATCATCATCGTCATCATCATCATCATCATCATCATCATTTCCACAACTAAAAATATTATTATTATTATTATTGTCACAAATAAAATAATTGTTATTATTATTCTTTTTTCTTTTTTTCTATTATTCTTTTTTTGTGGTCATAATATCTGCTAGCAAAATAATACAATTAAAATTAAATAAATTAATCAATAAAAAACATTTAAACAATAAATAAAAAATAATTATTATTATTATTTACACAACTAAAATATTATTAACATTATTATTATCATGTGGTTGTAATGTCTGCCAGCAAATATATATCTATATATATATATATATATGTCTATATCTATATATATATATATATATATATATATATATATATATATATATATATATATATATAACATTTAAAAAATAAATATAAAAATTATTATTGTTATTATTGACTATTTGTAGGAGGGTATTAGTCAAAATGCCCTGAATAGATTAAAATTAGTCCAAAATGTGGCTGCGAGACTTCTGACAGGGGCTCGCAAATATGAACACAAATCCCCAGTTCTTTTCTCTCTAGGCTGGCTGCCACCAATTGGTCACCAATTGATTTTAAATTATTAATTTTTGTCTATAAATCTATACTAACTAACTAACTAACTAACTAACTAACTAACTAACTAACTAACTAACTAACTAACTAACTAACTAACTATAATAATAATAATAATAATAATAATAATAATAATAATAATTATTATTATTATTATTATTATTATTCCCACTACTAAAATTATTATTATTATTATTATTGTTATTATTATTATTATTATATACTTTTAATATATATTTATTAATATATCATATTATACATTATTATATATATTTATATTATAAATATTCATGTTATTATAATGAGGTCATAAAATCTGCTACCAAAATAATAAAACTGTAAATTAAGTTCAGCATGAGACGCTGCAGTACCTCAACCTTCCACAAGTATTTCCACAAAAGCCAAACAGCCAAATGCTGATTCTATAAATATCAGCTCACATTGCGCATGCATTTGATCAAGAGAAAACACACGCATATGTCCACACACTTTAGGTCAGATGAAGGTTGGCACACGGAGCTGGCACAGCTCCATCAGATGGGCAGTGTGTCCACTAATCTGTGGATCAGTAAATGACGGAAATGAGAGGAATCGCACTGCAGTAATCTGTGTTTGAGCTCGAAACAGAGAAAGATCATAAGAGGAGAAGCGCACTTTATCAAGCAACTATTTAAAGCAGGATTACTGGCACTGAAATAAAGCCTGAATTTGGAGAATCCAGACACCAGATTGAGGGAAACAGACAGGACGTTGAAATCAGTGCAGACTGGGGAGAAAAAGCACATGGAAAATAATATTATTTTAATCATATTTGAATCCTCGAGTTCACAAAGCCCCTTTGATTTTGAGAAAAAAAAAACGTACTTAAGATGTAATCAAATTCTTTTTCTAGTCGTATTGTGAAAGATTCATCTGTGCATGTTATTCTAAAGAGCACATTCAAGATTGTTTGTCTTTTTTAACATCTTTAACAATCACAAATTAATCTGAATCAAAATATAATAAGACTGAAATACGTCATATCATGGAAGTAAAATGAGCTGAAAATGACAAAAATGTGCCTTCATGAAACCAGAATATTACCCATTATAAACTTATAGACAACAACATAATCTCCATGCAGCTCCCAGCATATAATAACAATACATTCTATTAATAAGTTTTCCTGAAACATTATGCAGAGCAGTATAAAGCAAAAATAAATAAAATAAAATACAATTTTACTACTTCTACTACTAAAAATTATGCAAAATAAAAATTTAGATAAAATAAATGAGCCTATTTTATGTAAATAAATGCTCAATAATGCTAATTATTAAAAATTTCAATTTATATCTGAGCATATAATAATAATAAATGCAATAAAAAATCTGCCTGTATTTTTTTCCTGAATTGAGTTTTTATAATAAAAAATAATAATAATAAAATAAAATACTGCTACTAAATCAATAAAATAATTATATTTAGATAAAATATAAAGATAAAATAAATAAGTTCAGCCTATTTTATGCAAATAAATACACAATAATACTGATTATTAAAAATATCAATGTATATCCAAGCATATAATAATAAATGCAATGAAAAAATGCAATTTCAGCATCAAATTTTAGCTTGAAGCATAAATAAAGTAATAAAATAAAACAATTTTACTACTTAGACTACTACTAAACATTATGCAAAAAATATATTTAGATTATATTTTGATAAAATACTTAAAATAAAATAAATGGGTTCAGCCTATTTTATGTAAATAAATACATAACACTGATTGTAAAAAAACTTGTATGTATATCTAAGCATACAATAATAAATATATATAAAATAAAAATAATGCATTTTTAACATGCATTTTCTTCCTGAAGCATGTATTTAAATTTTTGGAATAAAATAAAATAAAAATACTGCTACTAAAAATAATGCAAAACAATTTACTAAATAATTAAATAATTTAAGTTCAGCTGTCTTTACTAAATTTAAATGAGGACAGAGATTCCTTTTTTTTCAGTGTAAACCTTTTATTTCACCATGACACAATAGTGCACCGAGCCATTGAAGAAACCAAACATCAACCCGACAAAAGGTGCAACAACAACAACAACAAAAAGAAAAACGTCAAAGTAAAGACAAAATTCAAAAGACGTGAAAAACGAACACATTAAATAACCTATTCACAACATCAAGATCATATTTTCCCAGAAAGGAGCGAAACAACCATAAACACTGAAATAAGTAAACACTGGTAAACCTGGAGCGTCTCATTTACAAAGGGTTTTACCATGTGTGCAGCTCGCTAAACCCATCAAGCACAAAACACTGCGGTCAACGTCAACTTAGCCTTTAGGTTTAACATCGTTGTTGATACCGAAACCTGAAAATCGAATGGAATCTGCAATGATTGATCTTTATGTTGAAATATCGTGGCATGGATTCCAATGATTGAGAATCGATAAATGACAAATAAACACATTATTAAGGCAAGACACTGCAGTATACAACATTTTGGGCTTTTTGACTTTTACAGTTTTTAAGATTTTGAGCTTTTTGTCAAATGTATGTTATGTATGTCCTACTACACCCAACCCGCTCTGAGCTAGGATCAAACCGGCGATTCTTTGAGGAGTCGGTTGCTCTAACAAGAAGGCTAAAGACCATGGCCTCTAGCGTCTGTTGCTAGAGCACCTTAAGAGGTCAAAGGAATAAGGTTTACCTGCACAGCACTGCAGCAGTTGGCCTGTTACATTCAGCCCCCTAAACCTCACTCCTATCCCGGACGAGCACCCATATGTAACCGTTCATTCACACGGGGCTACAGCGTCAACGCTTGACCGAGGCCGTGTCTGAAGTTGGGGCTGACGCGATCGTCATAGCAGCGCCAGCCAATGAAATTAGTCCACAATCGGTTACTGCCTGAGTTTGGGTATTTGCATAAAGCGATCTGATTGGCTAACGCTTCCGTTGGCGCTTGAAGAGTTGAGAATTTCCCAAATTCTGCAGTGAGCTACGCCACTGAAGTGGCGCCGACAAATCCACAATGCAGTTTGGCAATGCCTGACGTCACCCTTTTAAAGTGAGTGGGGCATAATCCACCGGTAATTCTGCACCCATCCAACAAACAAACAAACAAACAATAAATAAATAACCTTAAAATTATTTCACAAACTTAAAATCTTGTAGAATTTTATTCTACTGGGTTACATATTTAATCTCCTCCTTAAAAATCAATTAGTAGCTTTACTTTTTCTAAAAATAGAGTAAACCCACACTCCTTTTTTCTGCTTGTTTAAACTATTTACTTAAAATGAGCTGAGCCAACACAAGTCTTGTTTTTTTTTCTTTTTTTGGCTAACTTATAATATTGATATTAAATCCACTTAAATTTGTAAAAACTAAATTAACTTAATTTGCGTTTGGACAACATGGACAACGCAGCATTTTTACAGTGCTTTGTAACTTGTAATTTTAAAGTTGACATGACTTAATTTTTAGAATTATGTCCACAGTTCATTTACTTAATAATTTAAAAGTAAAGTCAACTAACTATTCAAAACAGACTTAAGGTTTTGTTGTTGTTGTTGCTCCTAAATTGCACATAAATCTGCAGATTTTATTTTTAACACATATTTGTAAAAGGCTGTTTTCTCAAAACGAGACTTTTTTTTTTTTTTTTGTAATTTACACATACCAAACCTCAGATTTATTGATATATTCTTAAAGGTTTTGCCAGAGAGATTTGTTCTTACATAATTTGACTGATTATATACGACACTTTATTGTACAAAAAAAGTGAAACATAGTATTCATTTGATTTTGGCTGTTTGCAGCATTTTCTGAAAAATGAAGTAATAACAAACAGAAACAATTCCAATCTCCTCTTTAAAAACCCCAATAAGTAAGTAAATAAACAAACAAACAAACAAATTGACTTCACCCAATGCTTAAAATTAAAATGAATGAAATGTTTGCAAACATTTCAATAAATAATTCCTTATTTGCAAATGTGAATGGACCATAAAAAAAATCCTAAAATAACTGTTTTCTCCTATTTTACTTGCAGTGTCTTGCCTTAAAAGCATCAAGCAAAATTGTAAACACTGCTTAAAGCTGAAACGAGGCCTTATTTATTATTATTTTTTTCAGTGACTGAGCTATCAGTATATCTGTGTTTATGCTATAATACAGTATAAAATGATCTTCTGAAGGGGATGAAACTGTACAGGGAGCCGAGACGAAGAGTGCGAAAGAAAACAGACATGAGAGATAGATAAAGATAGCTTGAGAGAGAGAGAGAGAGAGAGAGAGAGAGAGAGAGAGAGAGAGAGAGAGAGAAGAAAGGAAAAGTCATATATTTTGCCTTCTGAACAGCACTAGAGGCACAGAGGGTCCACAGAGCAACAGATGTGGCCGTTCTGCAGAGAAACACACAGAGACGGGAGAGAAGAAAAGGAAAAAGACATTAGTCAGAGAAGAAAAGCAGCCAATGTGACAGTCATATAGAAGTGTTTCTGCAGTGGATGTGTGTAAAGCGTCAGTCTGTCATAATTGATCTGTGAGCTGAAGCGCCGCTCATGACCTTGGCTGGGTCACTTTCATAAGAGATGAGTAATCCCTCTCCAGTACCTGTGCTCAGATCAGTTCTTTATTCTTGCTGCGTTTCTCACCCAGGCTAACTCTACATGACTTATCCCATCTCTTATCATCCCATTTTTACACAAGTGAAAATACACAATTTTAATCTGTCTATTTAATTAAATGTTTTTAAACGTCACTTTTAATAATATTTCTTCTTGATTTATATGTTTATGTACTTATATTTATGCATTATTTTGGAATAATTCATCTGCCAGTCATCAATTATTATTTTATATCCAAAAACAAACTTGATGTGGATGAACTGTACCTTGCACTGGCAGAGGGAGCACTCGGTGCCGTGTTTGGTCCAGGCGGATCCGCTAAAGCGACTAATGCCGTATTCGTCCACACAGGTCTTGGTGATGTCATTGCGCACTGTATCGGCCAGGCAGGGGTCAGTGACGCAGCGCGGGCAGCATTCGCCATCCGGCACCACTGTAAACTCGCAGTCGGACACCGGTGCACACGAGACCGGCCAGCAGTCCACTTCGCCCCTCTGAAAAACAAAGGTCAGGGCTTCATCTGAACAATCAATACTTCTGCAATTACATTTGCCACATAAATTACACACTTCCGCTTTAACAGGCTGCAAATCACCAAGAGTGTGTTGTGGCCACTGATCCAGAGAGAAAAGTTTAATGAAGGATCGATACCACAGGTCAAGGCTGGATTAATATACTGCAGGTGAACAGGGTTCAAATATTTGCTAATGATTATATCACCATGCTTCAACAGGTGCGACATTACATCAAAAAAATGCTGATCTTTTTTTCTTATTATGAGATTTTTGAATTGTGACCCTGAACCACAAAATCAACCTTAAATTGCATGTATGTGTGTGTGTGTGTGTGTGTGTGTGTGTGTGTGTGTGTGTGTGTGTGTGTGTGTGTGTGTGTGTGTGTGTATATATATATATATATATATATATATATATATATATATATATACAACAGTTTTGTCTGGTTCTCGAATCTGATTGGCTGATAGCCATGATATATTTAGGTAATATCAGTACCCGTAAAGCCTCTTTACCCTTTGTGTATTACTCCGCCCACATACAACCAGCAAAAAGCAGACACTACAGATCTAAAGTTTAAAAGATGCTGGCTCAGCTGTTAAACTGTCAGCTTATGATTTGAATCCAAGGCGGAAGAAAGTAGTTCCACATACAAAAGGGTTTTTGAGACTCTCCGTGTTTGATTTTGTTTTTATATACACAATTATGCCGTCAATATATATATAAGCAATAATACACGAGTAGCAGTGCGATATGGCTGTATATCGGCACTAGTGGGGGCACTAAGGCACGAGGTCGCAACGCACGCCTCCCACCAGTGCCGATATACAGCCATATTGCACTGCTACTCGTGTGATATTGCTCATATATATATCCAAGAGCCGATCCCCCCTATACGCAACCTATACCCCCGAACCACTAGGGGGCGCCCCTTTCTCTTAAATGTAAATCTGTTCTGCGTTTTAATTTTTTTAGGAATGAAAACACTTTGAAATAAATATAAAAACGGCGGGATTCCCTTCCTTTCCATTACAGGCGCCATCTGTATCCCTTATCCACATGCCAGAGTTGACAGGTATGAAATGGTGACAATTAAAAGTGTATTTTGGATATTTTCTTTACATTCGACTAAAAAAATGCTGGCCCTTTTGGATGTTTGCCAAAGGTTCAAGGATAAAATGATGGAGTGCTTGATGTATTAATAGACATCAAAGTGATTGAAGGTCAGTTCTGCTAAACACTTCAAGGAAAGTGTTAGTGTAAAAAATCTATATCTAGAGGAGAATTATTTATTAATTACAGTTTTTTGCTTCACAAAAAGTGAAACTGACTAAACTCAAACTCTAAATAAAATAGTTTTTGGTGTTGAATCATGAAAGACAAATTATTTTACAACTTATCTGTGCTTTATTCAAATTTCTTATTGTGTTTGAGGCATGATAGAAAGTCTTACCGGTTTAAAAACCACAAGAGGGTGAATAAATGATTCATTTTGTGCCGTATTTCTCTGCAAGGCCACATATTTGGCAGATTATACCCTAAATCAGACCGAGCAGCTTTACATAGACCTTGATTACAAGACGAATGCAGATATTTCTCTGAAAGTCTCTCTCTCTCCCCCTCCTGGAGTTTTCCGTTCCGGAAACATTCTTTGTTCTTTCGCTCCTCACACTTCTGTATGCTTAAAATACAAAGCCTTTCTCCTGCCTCATTCTCTCTCTTTCTGAGTCTCGTCCTCCCTTTCAAGTTCTGTGTTTCTTTTACTTCATAGGGAACAAGAAAAAAAAAACAACTGATGAGAATCAGGTTTGGAAGAGTAAAGGGCGTTGAAAATGACTAAAAGAAAGCGCTGACTGAAAAGAGAATGCGATAACAGTGCAACAGTATGAGAGAAGAGCTTTACTGAAACCTATAATGATACAGCAATACAAAACTGGCTCTTTTTGACTGAGATCCTATTAAAGCAAGAGACTGCAGGGGAATGTGCTAATAAAATAACTGTTATAATGATTTTATTAAATATTGCACATAATTACCTGCAATTCAAGTCCAAAAATTGTTTAATTATGCAAATAATGCAGCGTTTAATTAAATATTTTCTCATTTGCATACTTGTTTTAACACAAAAACCTGAACATATAATGAAGTCAGGTTTAAAATGTGTTCATTTTAGCACATATTTCAGTAAAGTGTTTTTTTTCCAAGAGAATTTAATATATAATAAAGGTTATCCAAAACATAATATAATATTATAATATAATATAATATAATATAATATAATATAATATAATATAATATAATATAATATAATATAATATAATATAATATAATATAATATAATATAATATAATATAATATAAGGTCATCCAAAAAAATAAAGACAGCAATGAGACAGCCACTCTAAACTGGCTCTTTTTGAGTGAGAACCTATTAAAGCAAGAGACTGCAGGTGAATATGCTATAATAAAATAACTGTTATAATGATTTTATTAAATATAGCACATAATTACCTGTAATTCAAGTCCAAAAATGTTTATTTAAACATCATTAAAAATGTTTACTTATGCAAATAATGCAGCGTTTAATTAAATATTCTCTCATTTGCATACTTGTTTTAACACAAAAACCTGAACATTTGTTGAAGTCTGGTTCATTTTTTTGTGCAAATTTCAGTAAAGTGAAATTTTGGAAATGTCTTTTCATCACTAGATATTTTGGAAAGCACCGCAGACAGTCATACTCACATTTTTTTGTAGAATAAAAAGTAATATAATCAAGCAAATGATGTAATGCAATCAAATGCCTAAAAAACCTAAAAAATGCCTTAAAATGTCAAAAACCTTCACAATATAGATATGAACAAAACTGGCAAGTTATAATAACGCTTATGTGGAGATTTAAAGCTCAGTGAGGCAGAAAAAAAAACTCATTTTGATAAATTAGCCTTTTTGGAATATGCCTTATGATCAAAATCTACAGACGAAACTGATAAAGTGCTACATTTATTTAAACATTACATATTTTCAAAATTATACTGGAGGGGAAATTCAAAATCAAAAAAATCGGCAAGTACATATAAAACAAGACAAGCAGTGTCTTGACTTTATGGACACAGTTAATACTTGTAGGATAAAAAAAAAGAGTTTACAATGGAAAGTCACTTATTAAGCAATTAATCCAGAATCTGTGCTTTAACATTAGCCTGGAAAACACATCTTAAATCTGTTACACCAACCACATCTGTCTAGAAGCCTTCATTATTAGAGACTACAAGTTTAACCATCGTAAACCCTGAGGAGAAAACCCCTCACAGGCAAAGGAAAAGTATGGTATGTCGTTAAAAACCTGTTTAAAGTCATTGCCAGTTCAGCGAATACTATAGTAAGACTATTCACTTGAGGGGAAGATGGAGTTAGCTGGACTTTCTAATTCAATTCTACGCCGAAAAAAAGTTTTAAGCTTAAAGAATGAGGGGAAAAAAACTTGCTATTAGATGAAAGTTGAGTGCTGAACCACAGCGCACAGGAGGGACAAACTCTGGAGGGGCTGAAAACTGCACTGTTCAAGGGTTTGGCGCAAGATATATTTCTGAGATGCTGCAGAAAGTTCCACCGTGAGCAGCAGTTTCTCTGAATCTGAAACTAATAGTACACTGAGAACAGCATGACAGTTGTGCATGTGTGAACGGATGCTGTTTGCTAAAGGGGACATATTTCACACTTTTGCATCATTTTTTTATTGTCCCTCGAGGACAGTTATAATGTAAGTCAAGGTTTCTTGAAACAAAAAAAAATTTATGGGAGCATTTTCATACTCTGACTTTAGGTCTGTTTTTGCCTCTGTACTTTTAAGACTATTATGATAGTAATAATCATTCAAATTATTCTATTTTATTAATAATATAATATAATATAATATAATATAATATAATATAATATAATATAATATAATATAATATAATATAATATAATATAATATAATATAATATAATATAATTATTAACAATAGTAATTATATTATCATTAAAAAATGCAACTAAATCATGTAGCCCATTTATATAGAAAATTAATGCAGGATAAATCTGACAACTCTTATTATATCAAAAGAAATTGGGAATAAGAGATAATAAATACTATAATAGAATATGAAATGTGGGAACAAATATGTGCAAATTGTCATAAGGGTATAAGCAGTCATATATGGAAGGAGTTCGACTGGAAGATGAAGTTGAGGTTCTTCAGAGTTCCATTAGTCGTTACCAAATTCGATAGTTCTATTCAATGATCACAATGATGGAGAGACTATGGAGAAGTAGGAGACTATTTTCACATATTTTGACAAAGTCCCAAAATATAAGTGTATTGGCATGAGATTAAAAGCATACAACATACCAATGCACCAAGTATTTCTTTTTTTTTTTTTTTTGCTTAACGGCTTCCCCCCTGATCAGTTCAGTAAGTATCAGCTATTTGCACTACATATATTATTAATAACAGTTGGGAAGATAACTACAGTGAACTGGAGGAAGACACAACAACCTACTTTGACAGAATGGACAGAGAGGCTGAAACAGATATATACAGTATATTTGAAGAAATGACTGCTGATTTGTACTTGAAATCAGATATTTTCCAACAGACCCTGGCATTAATCAAAACATATAATTTTTTTGTGAATGTAAACTTTCTAAGTAAATGTTATTTGTATATGTTTATGAAACTTTCATAAAAACACAGTTTAAAAAATGGAACTATTAACTTTCAGTGATCTCATAGTTTGTTTATTTACATCTTTTACATGAAATTCCCAAAAATCTAATTGCTTGGAATAAAAAAAAAAAAAAAAAAAAAAAATATATATATATATATATATATATATATATATATATACATATATATATATATAATTTTTTTTTAATTCCTAGCAATTAGATTTTTTTTTATTTGTTTTATTATTACATTAAGTTTTAGAAAAAGCTTTCAAAAATATTTTAAAATGATTTGATTATATTTATTTATGTGGTAAATTTAAATTTAGATTAAATCAGACCAAAAGTATTATACAAATATCCATTTGTATAAACATATAAATAACTGTCTAAACAAAATTTTTAGTAAACATTGACCACATGATATAAATTATATTGGATTCTAAAATATAAACACATTCAGGCACAATTCATTACTTCACAACGAGTCTTCACTCACCATGCACTGGCACTGCTGGCAGTTCTCCACCCAGGTTTCTCCATTACTGTACGCCAGCAGACCGTTCTGATGCAAACACTGAGAACTCAGACGAGGATCGCATTCAGGACAGCACAGCACATCCACTGTGGGATTCTCACAATCACACACCATCCGTCTACACATCACCAACCCTGACTAAAACAGAAAAGAAACACAGAAGCTGACAGAGTGGAGAAAAACTCAAATTCCCATCGACTACAATTCCCATCAGCCCCTTTGACTCACCTGACAAGAGCAGACGGAGCACCTGTCATCATCCAGCACCCAGATCTGCCCGTTGTGTTTCACCTTGCCGTCATGAGCGCAGTCTCCAGTGCAGTTCCTACCATGCGGGCAGCGGCAGTCATATCCTCCGTCAACGTTAAAGCATATCGTGTCGTTAGCACAGCTGTGCCTCCCCATCTCACATTCATCGATGTCTATCAACCAGAAACAAAGAACCACCAAACTGGTTAAAGTCACAGTGAAAACAAACTGGACTTTTTTTGCATTAAGAGTGCAGTTTCCCTCACAAATCCAAAGACATGCGGTACAGGTAAATTGGGTAAACTAAATTGTTCATAGTGTATGTGCGTGAATGAGAATGTATAGGTGTTTCCCAGTTATTGGTTGCAGCTGGAAGGGCATCTGCTATGTAACACATGGATGAGTTGGCGGTTCATTCCGCTGTGGTGACCCCTGATTAATAAAGGGCCTAAGCCAAAAAGAAAATGAATTAATGAATTAAGGGTGCACATACTAATTGCCATGCACTCATAATTTTGAACTATAGCAGTCATTTTGCTTATTTGATGACCAGGTTAACTAGTCAGAGGGCAGGGCAACTAGTCATTGACATGGCAGCAACAAATGGAAAACCAAATCATTTATCAATCCAATCAAATTTCAGTGGAGAACATAAAGACTAGTTTCTACATTTTGTCTTGTTTGAAAAGAATGGGGGCTCGTCCGGGATGCTCACAAGAAAAATTGAACTATCCTTTACATATTAGGGAAGAAACGTCTACCAGTTTTGTTTTAAGTCAAGTTTAAAACTAAACCAAAGGGTGTTAAGACATGTTATTGTTTAATGTAACACAAATTGTGCGCCTTACTAAAATATGCAGTGAAAAAACGATGAAGGATTTTCATAGTTTAATGAATCGCATTCATTTTGGACAACAGGGGCTGACAATAATTTAGGTGCGCAGAGCTAAACGTCAAACTAAAAAGAAAAACATCAAGCTACTAGCACTGCCTGCTAAAAATCTGATACATTTGTGCAGCTTTTGGTTATCATTTTCAGCTAAAAGGCTAAAATAGACGCAATGTAAGTCTTCACTATCATGAATTTCTGCACAAGGAGCCTCAGCACTCTTGGATATCGTGCAAAATCCATGCCGAGAGACGACAAAGAAAAGAAAAGCAGGACTCTAAACATTCTGATTCTTCTATCAAAATCCATCTGTGTTGCTGCCTCAATCATAACTGGACAACTGGAACAGTCCAAAAAGGAATACATGGAATCAACCATGGATTTTCAATGATATATTAAAGTAAGAGATATCATTTATGTTATATTAAGCCATACAAGTCTTAATAACTGACTGGTTGCTTATGTCAGATCGAAAATGTGCTTAATATAAACAGTAGCAGCAGGATCAGCAGATAACGGTATCAATTCATGTTTAAATAAATCTTTTGTAAGTGGATTGCTTTAAAGTAGCATCATATCAACATGCTGACAACATGAATCAAACTAGACCGACAGACTGCAGCGTTTGTAGCTGAAGGTCAAATTAGACATTGTTTGAAGGCAGCCAATGAAAACCAAAGCCTTGTGATCATTTGACTTCAAACGAAACCTGTTACAAACCTGTGTAGAGAAACTGAAGACTCATTTCAAAAGCGTTTCTTTCTTTTTACAACAATAAGTGCATTTATCATGCATTTTGATCTTTGGAACTTTGCAGACCTATTCAGAAACAGCCGTATTTCACCACATCTAAGGTAATATTTGACAAAGCATAATGGGGCCACTTTAAATTCAAAGCACCACTTGTAACTTCAACAATGATGAATGTAAAATACAGCGCTCTCTGTTGGGTTGATTCAAAAGAGGCACTGTTTCATTATAAATACATTACCTTCGCACGACTCTCCGTTGGCGGAGAACATTCCGTTGTCGTGGTATCCATCACGGCACTCGCAGTGGTACCAGCCGGGCAGGTTGACACAAGTGGCTCGACTGTCACACTCCACAAACCCATCGGAGCACTCGTCGATGTCTGAGGAGACAAGGTGGAGACATGCATGAGGAATGTGTGGAAGAAGCACGGTGTCACTCTGGGTGAGCATTACTGTATGCGGATGACAGCTAAAAATTGTCAGATACGAAGACAAAATTCGGTTAAAATAGTGCTGAATATTTATTATGAACTGCCACAGCATTTAAAGCCAGAAAAGCTATAAACACAGCAAAATCCTCTGAGTATTTGGTCCCTCTTTAAATACGGGCAAGCAAGCTGCTGTTTGTGGAGTTGCTTTATGATCCTCTGCTGAGATTTTGAGAGATTCAATGTATTATATTCCAGCTGATTTCATCTAAGGCTGTGACTGAAGTCAGTTGTAGTTGTGTGTTACTTTGCTGTGCTTCAGCTTATTAACAGCATGTGTTCATCATCAGTACTCAATCATCACCCAATTAATCCTGTAATTGTCTCATTAACTTGAGTAACATCAATTCAATTTAGAGAGAGACCAAATATTATATAAACCGAGTACACTTTGCTGGGTATATAAATAAATATATCCATGAAAAAACTATTTGTTTCTGCATAATTTTACAACATTATATAAGAACAGCTATGGGGAATAAAGAAAGAGATCGCTTACAATCAGGGCTTGACATTAACTTTTTGATCACCAGCCACTAGTTTTCCAACATTACAAGCCAGTTGCCATTTTCACAAGCCACAATTTTTGTTGTTGGGAAAACATAAAATATATTTAAAAATATATATTTGGAAATATATTTTATATCCTTAAATTTGACTTTAGCATGCTAAAATTACTTGATTTCGTTTTTGTGTTATGTCCACATGCCTTTTTTGTGTGTTGTGTATGACCTTGCTCAATGAGCGTGAGCAAATGGCCTGTGGTTTCATAGTGTCGCATTGCAATTAGATTTCTTTTTTATTTTTATTAACAGTTTATTTCACTATTCACTTATTTCGCTATTTATTTCCTTGCCAGAAATTTTAAATAATGTGTTAAAACAAGCAAAATGTAGCTTTATACATGCACTTTTTATAGTCAACAAAATTGCTCTTAAAATAATGGACATTTAAAAACACTTATACACAGCAGTCTGACCTGGCTTAAGGTCCTACATCACCAGTTAACTATAAATGGAGTCAATCTCCATGTATGATAGTCAATCTCCAGGTATGATAATTAAAACACATCAACAAAAATAACTATAAGCAAAAGAAAAAAGGTGAAAAACATACGATAATCAAAGCATGGTTAACGTTAGGCCCCTTAATAATCTCTTCAAAGATTTGTTAAAGCGAAATCGGCAACAGAATTAGACAATAATTAGACAAACTAATAAAATCAAGATCAGAGATGCCCAAACTAGGGCCTGCAGGCCAAAGTTGGCCCACGGTAACCTTTAATTTGGCCCTCCATCCCATCTGAGTAGGAGAATGATGGGGAATTTTTTGTGGGAATGCCTTTAACAGAGATTGTTATTTCTATAAAAATATACAAAAAATATAAGTATAATAGCACAAATATTAATAAAATTCACAATTTTAAATGTAATAAATTATAGCATTAATTGAATTATGCAATGAATTATATTAATAAATTAGAAAAATTACACTAACAACTTTATAGTTTGGTATATTTACCTCCGGCCCACCACCGTCAATCAAGTTAGTTTTTGGCCCTTAATTAAAAAAAAATGTTTGGGCACCCCTGATCAGGATAATCAAGATAAAAAAGAAATTGTTTAAAATTGTGCTTTCACTAAATTATTAAGCATCACAACTGTTTATGACATTAATAATAATAATAATAAAGATAATAATAATAATATGGCACAAAATCAACATATTACACAGTCAAAATAAGAATATTACAAGCAGAAAGCTATAAGCGAAATACAGCTCAACGTGTTAAACTGCAATCATAATTAAATTATGTTTAAACAGCAACAGCAAAACCCCACCATAAAGTGGATGTTCTAATGTTGTGTTATGCCAGACTGTATTATGCTGTTTCCACAACCTTTTCAAATTCCCAAATAGATGCAAATCTTCCTAAGTGTATTTGATGCCTGTCCTCACACCAAACACAAAGGCAGAAAAATAAAGCCTCTTCCATGGGCGTCCTAAAAGGGAGCGAATTCAACAGCGGTTGATAATGATGCACTCCAGAATCTATTCAACTTTCAGTCCTTGTCCTTGGATTACACTCTCGCTGAAAGCCAGGCAAAGCGTCACTCAAACCCAGTCAGTTCAATGACAACTTCAACCACAATCGCACACGGAAGAGAAATCATTTTGTGACTTTCACCTGAGGCAGAATGCGTTTCACCTCACCCATCTCATTAGATTGTTAAGGCTGTGCTGTTTTGTGTTCTATTTCAATGGCATTTCCAATGTCTGGAAATAAGGCAAGGCTAAGCACAGATGGTTAAACAAAAAAAAAAAAAAAAACTGCTTGTATGTGTGTGAAAGGGGGAAAAAGATGTATGTAGCCTTGAGAGTCTTTATGAAAGAGCGTTGAATATGAGCTACAGCCTAAAGGACCTTGTGAATATGGTTTGCAAGTGCTGTGCGTTAGTATTGCATGTGTTGAGAAATATTTACAGGAAGCGTTCATCTAAAAATGACATTTCTGACAGTCTGTTCATCCTAATATGAATCTAAACCTGACTTTTAGACTATAATAGACGTTTTTCATATATGTTTTCTATAAAAAAAGAAGATATTTTGTAGAATGTTCACTGGTGACCATCGGCTTCAAAAAGATTGTAAATAAGTATATTCATAAATGTGTGTGTTTATTTTGATGGTCTGCTTGTTGAATTGAAGTTTCATTGCATCTACATGCCAACTAATTCTAATTAGATTATAAGAAGACTGTTAGGTTGGGGTTAGGGTTAGTGTAAGACATGTACTTGCAAAGTTTCTTATAGTCAGTTAAATGTCTGTTTAGCAGCAGTATCAACAGATATTAAGCAGACAGTCTAATACTCAAATAGACCATTAAAATAAAGTGTTATTCATTCATTTATTTTCTTGTCAGCTTAGTTTCTTTATTAATCCGGGGTTTTTACGCAGTTTTTACGCAGCGGATGCCCTTCCCATCTTTGGGAAACATCCACACATACATTCACACACACACTCATAAACTACAGACAATTTAGCCTGCCCAATTCACCTGTACCGCATGTCTTTGGACTGTGGGGGAAACCGGAGCACCCGGAGGAAACCCACGCAAAGGCAAGGAGAACATGCAAACTCCACACAGAAACGCCAACTGAGCCGAGGTTCGAACCAGCGACCCAGCGACCTTCTTGCTGTGAGGCGACAGCACTACCTACTGCGCCACTGCATATAATAATAATAACAATAAGTGATGTTTTATAAATAAATTTCAAGAGAAGCACGATCAGTTTTGACAAGGCTAATTCATTATTGACAATCATACTATTATCCAATCAGCTTAAGACCAAACCCCTGTAATTAGTCAAAGAATCATACCTCCATTTCCTCTCAACTTCAGCATCCCTCCACCACCCCAACTCCACACTATTAAACCAGACCCCTAAATAAATCTCAAGGGGGAGCGTTCTGGAGCCAGGCTAAACATTGTGCTTGGATCCAGAACAGCATTCATTTAAAAAATAAAAAAAGAAGCGTCAAGCGCGAGTGATTTACATGTTAAGTCAATGCAAATGCGCAAATAGACATCCTGCAGGGCGATACGCTTGAATGGTGCAGCGCGAATTAAACGTTTTTCGTGTTTGACGTGCATAATGCCCAAATTGTTCGAGTTCAAAAATCTGAACTTCAGCAGACCTTTGCGCTGCATTAACCAATCAGGAGCTTGTTTTTGTGGGGGCGTGATTGTGACGTATCGCCTGTTGTTGGTGTCCCGGGGGAAAATCCTCCAGCTGACACAGACAACAGTTCATCAAACTGGACTCAGCTCAGTCAGAAGCACCGTTGACAGCCTCCATCATTCAGGTTAAGTTTCTGGAGGAGTTTATGAGCTCATTGAGCTGGATGCTCCTCTGAAAGGATCTAGTGGACTCAGACACGGCTCTAAACATATCGACGCTGATTTTCAGCCTTCATAAAGCACATAAACACTGTTATTTTCTCCATAAAATCCATGTTGGCCATTTTACAACAAAGCTACAGTCTCCTGGCAGACAGAAGCCCTGCCCATTGATGCGCAAATGAAGCAAATAAACTTAAACTTCACCGTCCATTTTAAGGGCCAAGGGTAAGGGGTAGGGGTACAAAAATAGAATTAGGATTGGGCCTTGATTGACTTATAAAATCGGGTTAAAATAACACAAAAAACATTTGTTATCATGACTTCATTCATTTTTTTTATAGTGTACTCCAAACTTTTGTACTTAAGTGAAACATAAGAAATAGACCCACAATAATGTCTATATTTAACTATTGCAGTAGTCACCAAACTTGTTCCTGGAGGGCCGGTGTCCAGCAGATTTTAGCTCTAACCCTAATCAAACACACCTGAACAAGCTAATCAAGGTCTTACTAGGTATACTTGAAGCATTCAGGCATGTGTGTTGAGGCAAGTTGGAGCTAAACCCTGCAGGGACTCCGGCCCTCCAGGACCGAGGTTGCTGACCCCTGAACTATTGCATTAAAATGCATCAGAGCAAGTTCATCATAAACATTTAAATATTCAAATTGCAAGTGAAATCTGAGAGCCCAGACACAATGCAAAAGCGACAGAACATTTTTTCTTGGTCGATTGGCCGCTCAAAGAGAACATTTCTAAAGAACATGATGTGAGACTTTCTGAACACTTTGATTTCTCGCTCCTATGACTAATATTTCCACACTTTTTGCACAGACCGCACTCTCCCCACACCAACTCCCTCGGAAAGAGAGAATGGCGAAAATAACACAAACAGCGCTGAATAATACATAGTATTAGGCAGCGCTGATGACATTTATTCATCCTCTTCCTTGAGCACAAACACACAGCGCACTCGTCTCCCTCAGAGGAG